AATTTGGGTCATGTATATATATGATACATATTTAAATGTGTTAGGGTCATTATTTATTAAGCCAAATAATAAAGTGATCTGAATAAATTAAAGTTTTGGCTAAAGGCATATGTCATGAAAATAATATTGTGTAGAGACTATAAAGTAATTTCTAATTTGATGAGGGGTCAAATTGAAAATACTAAAACTTAAGTAATTAACCTAATTTTGGTTATATAAAGGGTCATGGTCCCCTTCTGAGAGCACACAGACAGAATACAGATACAGTCCCGTTCTTTTCTTTCTATCCCCATCAAGACAGAAAATCCATAGGGAAATACAGGTGCTCTTCAGGTGGAAGACCATAAGATCAATTCAAAGGTGCTCTAAAAAGAATATTATGGCTAATTCAGGTACGCTTTCGCATTTAGTTTATATAACATGTTTTCAGTATGGGATTATAAATATATGTTTGATCATTAGGATGAAGATCATATTCAATTACAGTTTTCCTAACAATTGGTATCAGAGCTAAGGTCACGAGTTCGATTCCTAGTGGGCAATTGTTGAGGGGGAGATTGTTGCAGGTTGCACAATTGTCCCGTGGCGGAGGTCGGGTGGGCCGAGTCACAATTGAATCATGGCGTTTGGGCTGTTAAAGTAAAAAAAGTTGCGCTCTGACTAATAGCTATAGCTTTTGGTCTAGTGGTAAGCGCTTGATCCTAACATGTAGAATGTCAATCTCCAAGAACAAGTGTGATTAACAATGAAAGCACAAAAGACAGTAAAGAAGATGATTTTCTCAGAAGGTGTAAAATATCTCTGTTGTCTTGTTTATAATTCTTTTCTCACAACTGATTGAATGTAAATTGTATTTTTGAATTTTGTAATTGTGTATTTTTGTTTTTTTATCAAAACTTAATTAAATAGAAAAATAGCATCAGAAAATGGTCGTTGAACATTAATATTTTTGTGAATAAAAATTAAGATATATTCAAAAATATTTATTCTTCAAAACAGATATATTTTTCAATTTTGAATTGTGATAATTAATTTTGAATTGTCATAATTGATTATGTTACCGGTATAATCAATTATGGCAAAGAAAATCATTTTTCCATTTCTGATGCATAATAATTAATTATGACAATGAAAAATATCACGTTCTGACTTTTATCACACTTGTGCTTTGGAGGCTTATACATAAGATTACTTCATCAACTTGTACCTCCAAGTCTAGTATTCTAAGACTCTATCTAGTCTTAAGGAATCATCTTGGGTTTGCTTGAATCATCGTCTTTATCAAAAACATATCTTGGCCATGTAGGGAAATGTTTTACATTTTCACCAACGTCTTAAATTCAGCTTGTCCTTAATTCATCTTGAATGATGTTGACTTGAATGTAGTTGACTTGAATCATCATCAAAATCATCTCTTGGAAATGTAGGAACATTTTCATCAATCTCCCCTTTATTGCTTTCAATTATTTATTGTCATTATAATTTTTAATAATGAATTAATATATTTTTAGTTTCATTGTTAATTTTAAAATATTAATTTTAACATATTTTTACTAAATTTTAATATAATAGTTTAATTAAAAAGTAAATGGAAGAGGAAAGAGAAAAACATAAAAAAATAAAAAAAGAGAAAAAGTTAAAAAATTATAAAATTATAAATTATATAAAAAAAAACTGAATATAAACCCTAAATGAATATAGTTGGATAAATGAATCGGTAAAAATTCTATTCAAGTAATTTTTATTTTAATGTATATTATTCATAAGATTCATTCAAAATGGATCTTTATTATTTGTAAAAAAATAAAAATATTTAAATTATAAAAAATATCATATTTTAATATATTATATTTAAAAAATATTATATAATACATTTGAGACATTATAAATATTAATGTTATGTTATTAATTAATATGAAAAAATGTAATATTTATTTTAAAATAAATATTTTTTAAATTATCTAATTTGTCTTGTTATTCAATTTAATTATAATTAGACTAAATTGTTAAATAAAAATATTTAACTCATAAATATTTGATATTTTTTAATTAAATAATTAATTAATTTATTATGAAAAAATATTTTTAAATTAATCATTTACGTTATTGTATTACAATAAATAAAATTATTTACTCAATCATAATTTTAGATAATTAATTATTATTTTTAGTTTTAATGATTTTTTTAAAAATTACTTTTAAATATTTTTTATTAAATTTAAATATAGTAATTTTAATTAGAGGAATAAATGAGAAAGAAAAGAGAAAAGAAAAAGACTTGAAATAGAAAAAAAATGAAAAAGAGAGAAAAAGAAATTAAGGAGAGAAGAAAAATTAGATATAATTGACAAAAATTCTATTTAAATAATTTTTTTTAAATATATTATTTATTAATTTTTATTTTCTGTCATCATAATTATATATAATTAGTTGATATTTTCTTAATTTTAATGTTGATTTTAAAAAATTAATATTAAGTTTTAATGAAGTTGGAACGGTAAGAGAAAAATAAAAAACTTGATCTAAAAAAAAAAGAAAAAGAAAAAACAAGAATAAAATAAAAAAAACTACGAAAAGAGAAAAAAAATATTTATTTTAAAATATATTATGTATATAATTGATTCATTTATTAACATTTTAAGATAAAACTTAAAAAATATTTGACTTACATATATAATTAAATATTTGAAAAGAATAGTATAAATATACTAATAATAATATTATAAATATTTTATATTTATATAAAGAAAAAAATTAAATATTTTTTATATCTTTTTAATATAAATATAATAAATTAAATTATATATTTAATTAATAATAATAATTATAAAAATTTATTTTATATAAAAAATAATACATGAAAATATTAGAAATTTTATGATAAATATAATTATTTAAAAAAAATATCTAATAGAGATAGATTTTAAATTTATAATTCCTTAATTTCTAACGTAAATAAGATGGGAACAAGAAAAATAAAAAGATAAAAAATAAAAAATGGCAAATCGAGATGGGAAAACCCAATCCTATTCAGTTACGTTGGCATGCAATATAACAAGAGAACAAAAATTACATTTTTATATGATCCACTCTCCATATTAAAAATAATTTGAATCCAACCTTTTGTACCTGTGACTCTAATTCTATGTTTAATTTTATAGAATTAAGTAATTTTGGTCTATTACTTGTTTTGTTCTATTTAATTAATTGGAATTAGAAAATATTTTTAATAGTAAATAAAAGGATTGATATCTTGGGCTCAGTCTTATTTCCCTACATATCCCCTCATGGCACAAATTTGAAACCCTCCCAAATTCTTTAAAAGAAAAAGAAACTAAAATATTATAAAAAAAATCTAAAAGTGAAAACAATTAAGAAATATAAATAAGTTTTAAGTTGCAACTGAACAACCATCAAATATCAAGTGCGGGGTAAGTTTGATACAAATTTGAAAAAAAAGATTTTTTAACCTCTGTTTTTTCAGATTTTAATTTTTAGTATCTAAAAAAAGTGAAAGAAAAAGGTTTATTCCAGTAGTCAACAACTAGTTTTAATATATTTTTATACCAAACTTATTTTTTTATTTAATGTTTTTCATTCGTAAGATTGAAATCAATATTATTGTAGTAAACTATGTGTTATATTCAAATTGTTTCTAAACTCATCATATTTAGTTATTTTTTACTATAAAAACTTCATTAAATCTGGTTCAAAATTATTAGTTCTGGTTTTAAATTGTTTTTTTTTAACTGATTTTTTTAATTATTTTTATTCGCATAAACTAGACCCCTTGACAAACTGATTTTATTAGTTTAAAAAACCTTCTTGGTTTAAAATCAGTACAAAAACCCAATTGATTTTTTTTTTTTTCAAATATGAATGTGAATTGTAATTCAATATGAAGAAAAAACATGAATTTGTCATAACAATATTTCAAAGCAATCCACTGAAAAATGGTCCAAAATAAGTGGACGAAATGTAACAATAAAGCAACCAATTCATAGTCAACATCAACAACTTCGTATGGACAAGTTTGTTTGCATGATCAAACAAATTGGTTCCATTATTTTGTTCTTAGCACACAAAAATAGATTGTTTCTTCCTGAAGCAACACTACCAGTACTATCCACTTTCTCTGACAAAAATAATGTGCAATTTCTTTATCTGAAAACAAACTTTGTATGATTGATGATGCTTACTTACCTAAAACTCACTTATTCTTTTCACTTCAAGTTAGTTGCAGTTACGTTGACAATAGAGATGCATTTTGCAATTTTTGTTGTGCAGAAAGCAATAACGAGATCAATATGGATGTGGATTATTTTAGATTTCCCTGTCTGCTCTGATTAAGTGCATTTCTTGCACTGCTTTCACGATCAGCTCCATATTGTGTTGACAAAGTTGGTGAATCTGCCCCACCATCCACCAGAAATACAATAATTAACAACTTTGGCTCAGATTTCTTAGCCTTGATCATGACATTATTTTTGAATGGAGAACTTATATCACATTGATAATCGAAGTAGATTGGTGAATCTGATTTAAACTCAGACCTCTGAAGTATTAGCACTCTGCTTTCTTGCAACCCGACACATATAAACTGAGCCACAATAATTCTCAGAAACTGCTTTTACTCTGCATGTATCTAGTCTTCTTTAGATTTTACAAGAGTTACCATTTTTTTAGTACGTAAACATTCTCTAAAATGCACACTGATTTTAATGGTATAGTAAATTGGCAAAAGCCTTGCCATTGTTACACCATGAAAACTTATGCATACTGATGAAAGTATCTCTGGGGTTACACGGCCATGAGTTAAACAATTAACAAGATATCCAAAACAGAAGATTATTGTCATTACCTAAAGTGGAGGTCAAACAAACAAGGACTAACTAAAATGTTGAACAAATATCACTGAGGAAATTGAGGTAGGTACCTGATGTTATAATAATTAATTTCTCACAATCTCATATGTTTGCTATTTTGGCACTAAGAGGTGATTAGAAGAATGCTCGACTACCATAAAACACGCGAGATCCATCCTTTTTCTTCTTATCAGTTTCTAATTTGCTGTTTTCGTGATTCTGAATCACATCACCATCGCCATGATCCACTTTTTCAGGCTTGTCAAGGTCCATTGGGAGCTTCATTTTTGCCAAGGACTCAGTGAACTGCTGCATGCTTCTCATATACATGTCTACTATTTGTTTTTGCATAGCAGCCTGCTCAGCTTCAAGATTGACGTTCCCTAGTGGAGCTGAAAACACTTGACCAAACTTTGAAGTTTCTGCGTTCTTGTTATTGGTTTTGCTTTCCTTTTCTTTGCTTGAGAAGTTTGCCTCTTTGTCATCTCTGGCCTCACCTTCTTTCTTAGAAGTTGGGGTATCTGGACAAGCACCACAGTTTTGACTACCTTCCACAGTGATTGACACAGTGACAGAATTGGATGAGTCACCAGTACTCAAATGGTTCTTTTTCTTAACTGAATCTGCTGAGTTTCTATCATCACTCAAGGTTGTGATAGTGGAGCCTAGGAAGCATGAGTTCTGAATGCTCTCATTTGGAGAAATGGACCCTACATGATTCTCATCTGGTGAACTCATAGTCATCTCATAATCATCAAGTTGAGGAGGTGCGCCAAGGTGGAGAAATGGTAGTGGCCCTCCAATGGACCTTGAAGGGGCAGAAATAGTAGTATGAGCTGCCAAATTGAAGTACTCGGAAACCATTTGCTGGTTCTCCTTCACCACACTGATGTCAGGAAATTCAATTCTTGCATACTCAACTGGGTCCAACATAACTTCTGAGATCTTACTATCGAGCAAGATAACTTCTGATGATATGGATGAAGTCTTAGCTGATTCAGGTATCAAATTCACTGAGGAATTGAGTGCCAAAGAGGGGTCTAAAGACAGTGTTAGTTGGACAGTACCAGCGGGAGAGTGGAAAAGATCAGTGGAAGAAAGGCTGTAATCTTCAGTTACCTTTCCTTTGCCAACAACTCGTGAAATTGGAACCAAAGCAAACCCCAAAAGCTGGTCTTCCATGTGAATCCTTGCCCTACTAAACATCCAAATTTCACATTTCAGAACAGCGTCTGTTTGGGTGATCTTCATCCTCATGTTCTCATTGAATGTTGGGTTTTTGCCACCTCCACTGATGATTCTAGTCGAGAGGGTCTCATCGGGATTGTAAGTTAGAGAGAACTTAGCATACACATCCTGGTTGTCATAGATGCATATGTTGTGAATATTCCTAGCATGATGGACAAATATATCAAGAATCCCTGGGAACTCTGCTTCTTCATCTGCATGTGTGCTAGAGTTCAAATTTGGATTGTACCTGAAGCTGGTAGTCTGGCAATTCTGATTGAATGAATCCATTCCAACCCTTATTATGCCTTAGAATTTTCCTTTGCAACCACACAGAAAGTTTCCAAAATTAGGAAACAGAAGAGAAAAACAGTTGGTGTAGATATTTGGATCATCAATTATCACCTTTTAGATACATAAAAGACCAAAAAAAACTTGATTATAGAGCAAGCCACAAATCAGTGTAAAGTAGGCAGAAAGAGCAAGTATCTAAAGGATTAAAACAGCAAAAGAAGAGGGTTTTCTCACCTAGTAGAATGAATGAATGAATGGATGGTAAGAGAAAGCAAGATAAGCTGGTTGTCTAAGTACGTTGGAGTGAGTATCTTGTAGCCGAAGACATTTGTCAAATCAATCCATGAATTCAGGAACAAGCATGGATAGAGAGAGAAAGTTGGAGTTGAATGAAGTGGGTTGCTTTATGGAATGGAAGTGGGGTTTAAAGAAGTTGTTGTGGTAGTAGGTGAAAAATGAAGGATGAAGCATGGAAATGAACAGAGAAGAGTATTATGATGTACATGTTATCTTTTGGTGTTGAGGGGGATTGCTTTGCTTGACAATGCAGCTTCCATATATTTGTAGTGCATAACTTCCTCCACTCACACTAATGCTATTGGAGGACCCACCATCTTCATTATCACTCACCCCTCTCTTCAATTCATGCTCTACCCTCACCATTCAGACACCATAAATTACCCTGTCTCTCATGCCTTTAAAGCCATATTATTCTCCTTCTAGTACCAATGGAGTAACTCACCACCACATTTTACAAACTCGGGTGAGTTCAAAATAAAATCAAAAGTTTTGATATCCTAACTTTGACAACGAAGCTTTCTCCAGACAAACTTTTTGCAACCAAGGAAAGTGAGTTGGAAAATCCATTGGACTTCGTTAATTTGAACGATGATTATGCAAAAAGTTTATCCTGGAGCAAGTCTTGGAATGAAGTCCTGAAGATGTGGCATATATGCAATGGAGGTAACATCACAAATCATAACCTTTGACTGCTTCTTTTCCATTGCTAATCACCTTCACCACATGCACATACATATAATGCTACATGCTGAAAAAGATACCAGGCAGAAAAGAAAGAGAGAAAAAAACTTCACATCACTACCCCATGCATGCATAGCAAGATAAAAACGTGATGATGATATAGACTTCCCCATAATCTATCAATTAATTGGCCTGTTTCATTTCCTTCCATTCGTAGTGGAACACAACTTTTATCATTTTATTCCTTCCTAACTTAGTTGTGACTTATGAGCCACAACTTAACAACATCAAATGTTATTATTTAAAAAAAAAATTGCACAAAGATTGATTGAAATCATGAACACTTTAGGCATGCACTACTCAATTGCAATCAATTTCTTTTGGCATTAAATTGGAAATATTTACTAGGTTAATTAGTGTCATGTGTGGCTAGCATTTCCAAAAATTGTGAGCTAGAAGCTAGAAGAACTTTTCCCCACTTCAAAGTCATGAAAAGTCAAATATCTTTTGACTTTATTACTCATGTTAGATGAAATTAAGTTAAAGCTACCTTGAAGGAGAATGTGAACATTAGGTAAAGAATATTTGAAAAAAAAAAATGTACTTCTCATATCATGGGAATCATTTTCCAAAGTTTAAATAAATGATAATTGAAAAATCAATTATTATGCCACGTTGGTTCTGTTAGAACCATTGGTACAAAGTCATCAATTTTGTATTCAAAGCATTTATTTTAACCACAACATTAATTTTAACAAAACATATAGCAAATATGTGATATTTTAATTATTTTCATATAAAATATTTAACAAATATACCAATTTAGTGATAATTAAAGAATATTAAAATTACATCAAATTAAGGTATTATGTGTTATTGTTAAAAAGTTGAAAAAAAAAAGATAGAGATACAAATTTAAATATATATATATATATATATATATATATATATATATATATATATATATAACTCTGAAAGAATATAAAAAGTTATATATTTAACGTTTAATAGATGAAGTATTAAGGTTATCAGTTATATTTTCTATAAAACATTAAACGGTTTTTTTAACATATACTTAAGACACAGTTAAAAGTTATTTTTAGTATTTGGCTAATTTGTGTCCTTTAAGAGATGATAAAAGCATTCACTATTTATTATTGTGTTTATTTATTTATTCAAATTCTCTTTAAATTATTATTAATTTATTAATCTACTTATTCTTTTTTTTCTCTCTTATAATTTTCACCTACTCATAATTATACATGTTTAAAAATAAAAGTAAGAGAATTTAAACAAAATAATATAATTATAACAAAATATTTATAAAATATTCTAATAACAAAAAAAAACACAATTAAGTATAAAAACTCTATTCCCTCACATTATTATAACGAAAATAAAATAAAATGAACCATTTATACTTTTTTAATAGACAGAATTAAGAAAAAATAAAAATAAAATTAAAGATTATTTTAGAAGATAAAAATTATATTTCTTACTCTATATTTTTTTAAGTACGAGTATAAAATACTAAGTAATTAGTATTCTTTATTTTATTAGTTTATTTATATTACTTTTTTCTTCAACATTTATTATTTTACATGTGAATAAAAAAATGAATGACATATGTTATAAAAATTAAATATTAAATATGATATTGAGTAGATATTATAGATATAATATTTATTATAATTCATAAATGCTCATAAATAAAACGGTTTCTCGATTTGACACAAGATAAAAGTATTAATTATCCTTTATTCTTTAGCTTATATATTTTACTTCTCTCTTAATTATTTTTAATAAGTTCATTAGTTTTTTTTTATTCCTTGTCTTTCAAAATACATGATATTTGGTAAGAAAATTTTGTTTCTAGATGATGTTTGAAAATTTTAAGATTGAATTAATTACTTTTTAACCAATTATACATCTATCTTTTAATTATATTTATTACAAATAAAAGAGATAACAAGTTATTTAAATATATTTTGGTTTGAGAATATTAAGATGATAAGGGTATTAATGAAAAAAGACTAATAAATTTATTAAAAACAATGAGAATTAATATTTATATTAGTTTGGTAACTACACCTTAAACGTCATGTTTTTTTTTAAAAAAAACAAACAGAATATTAGATTTGATAGTCTTTCTTAAAATATTTGATGTTTTGGGTAAAAAGTTTTGTTTCTAAATATATATCATTTACAAAGTTTAAGAATATATTAATTACTCTTATACCAATTATAACTCTCACTTTGAATTATATTAAAAAAGATAAAAAGTTACTTACATATATTTTGATTGAAAAGAGAATATTAAAATTATAATGGTATAAGAAGAAACGGAATAATAAATTTATTAAAAATATTAAAAATTAATACTTATATTGATTTGCATAGCTAAACCTTAAACATGTATACTTTAAATCATACTAGGTAAAAAAATAAAAATATAATTAATAAAAAGATAATTAATACAATCTTAAATTTTACAAACAAATTATTTGTCAAAACATCACGTATTCTAAAACAGAAAGAGTAATAATTTATTAAATTTCACAATTAATAATTTCACATGTTATATTTGGTAAATACAGTATTTAATATTTTGGGTCAGTCAAATTTATCTATAATATATTAAATATGACATTTATTACATGTAATATAGTATACAGTGGTTGTATATTTAATAAATGTAACATATATTTCAGTATATATTTGAAACATTTTTTAATAAAATAAATTTATCTTTATATTTCTTAATATTTGAAATTTGAAATTTGGTTATATAAATCAATAAAAAATTATTTTTATTATTTTCAACAAATTTATTAATTTTCTATGGTACTCTTATATTTTAATTATTTTTCCTATCTAAAATAAATTCTAATATCTTATTATATTCTTTATTTACGATAAATATAATTAAAATATAAAAATATAATTAAATATTGAAAAAACATTGGTTAAAAAGAAACAAGGAAATATTATGATAATATGAATATTTTGTTAAAAATGACATTATCGATATTTTAAAATATAATTTTTTTACTATCTATATTTTTATAAAATACTTTTTAATATTATTTTGCATATTTTATAATTTTATTTTTATCAAATACAAATAATTAATTGTTTAACAGAAATATAAATCAGTAACCACTCAACTGATTATCTACTTCACTTAAAATAACCACTCAGATTTTTTTGATAAAATTAAAATAACTAATTATTTGGTAAAAGAATTAATTGATAATCACTCAAGTAACTACTCAATTAATTTAAAATAACCACCATTTTTTCGCTTAAAATAATCATTCAACGTATAAACTATTCTTTCTTAATAGCATTCATAAATTTTAAATTAATGATACGTATATTTTATTTTAAAAATATAAATTAAAATTAATATAAACATTAAATCTTAATTTATTAAAATAATATAATATAATAAAAAAAATGCTGATATGTCATTTTAAAACAATTATTTTGTAGGGCATTCATTTGGAAACAAATTCAACCTCTATCAAAAAGACGAATCCACATTGGCCCAAAAACCCTGTCTAGTAACTTTAACGTATAGTGACGGCCCATTTTCTATTTTTGGTATATGGGCCATTAAAATTTGTGTGGCCCACGTAACATGGCCCAGAAACACGATAGGTTTAAAACACCTTCTAGAAACGGAATCAGATTTGTAAGAACAGAAACAAACATACATGAGTATTGATAAATAGGAATATATGAACATATCGCACGTATTATTCTATAATTCTAAATGATTGTTTTTTAGAAATTACCTAATCCATTGGATTGTTTTAAGAGAAAAAATCATTTAGAGTTAAAAAAATTGATAAATTATAAGAATAATTTAATTATTTAAAGTTATAAAATTTGGAAATTATATATATTCTTTTCTTTTTTATCTATATTTCTTTTCTTCATAGTTTTGCCTATATTAATAGGTTGATAAAAATCAGTGTACTTCATAGCCAATATTAATGAAGATTATGCAA